TGCAGAGAGTGTGGCTTATTTGCCTCAAGGAGTATATCATTTCTGACATTGACTTCTTTCACATTCATCGTTTACCAACGTCTATCCTGTGGTCTGCCTCATTTTGGTTTATAGAAGCAACTCTTCACATCCCACACCTCGGCACCTGACAGACAAAGGATTCATCATCTAGCCCTTTTGGTCTCATCAACTCAGTTGACTTTGGGTCGTGACTGAATTTCCTTTCTACCTCCCTTCATCCTGGGTGGCACTCAGGGTATGATGTCAGTACAAGAAAATATCAGTTCTTTGTAAAGGAGGCTCCAGCTTTCCTTCTAAAAATCTGTTCTCTTCCTTGGAAGCTCAAAAATAAAGTTCCACCACTGGAGCTTAAACTAAAAGATTAAAGTCCATGAGACTGTTACTTTGTCTATACATTTTTTTTGCCTGAAGATTTTTTAAGAAACCTCTGATGTTTTGAAACATGGATGACCACTTTGATCTATACACCACAAACACCAAAATTTGGCAAAGGAATGGAATGAAATGGACTATATAAACATTTCCCTAAGCAGATTCGTAAATACAAATGAAATATTATAACCCAGCAGACAAAACAGCTAATGGTGGATTTCTAAATGAATTTTGTAGTTACAGATGCAATATTGGCATTATTCTTTTCCTTTTCAGTAATAAATATTTCATGAAAAAAATGCTGGAAACATTGATAAGAGGCGAGTTCAATAGTATGAGTCTTTTAGAAAGCAGATCATATATGTTCTGAAGTTTCAAAACTATGTAGACAATATCAGGAATTGTAGTGGTAAATGTATGACATTTCAATACTTACTCCTTTTCTTTCCAGGAACCAATATGGCTCACCGAAATGATCAAAGTAAGTATATATCAAGCAAAAAATAAATGAGATTAAATATCCTAAAACTTTTACTTACAGACAAAACCCTCAGAGAGCTCTTTGTCATCACTTTATAAACAGTGGAGTATAGTTTAAGCTGTCTACCACAAAAGTAATCACAGGTTTCTGCCTTGTGTGCAATTATTTTTGTAATGTAGTGCAGAGTGAAGAATAAAACCTAAAATAGTAGATATAAACATAAAAAACAAAGAGCTGTAGAATGTCACAAGTGAAGCTGTAATACTGCATATTATTTTGAAGTAAAACAAAGTCAACTTTCCTAGCAACTTTTTTGTCAACTGGGGGCACAATTTGAAACCATCTGGCTATCGTGGAAGCTTTGCAGCTCACAATGGTACATACTGAACTTGGACTCCTCTAAAATCCTTTAGCACTTTTGGTATTTAACATGCATTAAAACTACTAGCTTTCTACAGAAATTGTTCCTAACTTGTGTTCCCAAAGTTCATAGAAGATTAAAAAGGTAGTAATGATAGATTCTGAGGTATTGTCAGTATTACAAAGAGCCTAGTAAAATGGCCCATTTGTCTGTGATTAGGCTGCATGTAATAATGATAATATTCATTGAATTCTCACAAAAATCCTAAACTTAACTGCAAGTGACTGCTTTTAGTTGAATTATATCAACTTTGTGCGAGGGAACTTTATAGATATACAGGCTTTTTAAATTTTAATTGAGAAAATAATCATTTCTTAAATAGTGCTGTTTGATACACAGAATCTTTTGAAAACTGACATCTACAGGTCAGAAAATATGATGGAAAAATTGATGAAAAGACTGATAAGTAGTGTTTGGTGTATATTTATCTTATTTCTACCAACAGAACAGGAGATCATCAAGGGCAATAATGACCATTTCCACAGAGTCTAACACAGTGCCCAGCGCACAGCAAGCCTTCCTTACATGTGCGGTTTGCTTGATCTGTCAAGTAATAAAAAGCTAGAGATTCCTACTGGCATTTCTTACTTCTAAAATTGATACTAGGGAGGATATGATGCTTTTCTACAATTGCTCTATGCCCCAGAGAAATTGAGCTAGATGGGCCAGGACCTGACCTACTGGAGGGATTCTCTTAGGTCCATTGAATAGAATGCTTCTAACAGTGAACCAAATAAGCCTGAACACTTGTCTTAAGTGCCAAAGAACAAACATAGTCAATGAGAAAATCTGTTCAACAGCAATCTCATAAGGTCACAGGCCAGGGCTGTTTAGTATCCTTAAGTTTATGTGAGGCTTAGCGCCAGTGGATGTACTCACTCTATCATGTGCTGGAAGAGAGGAAACCACTCGAGAGTGCTATGCACAGCGCCTGCACCACATAATAAAAATCTGCTACTATTCGGTGCTGAGACTTTACAAAGCATGTGATAAGGAAATTATGTATTTCTTGCCACTCTGTCATGGATTTAGTACCACGATTTAAAAAAACATCAATACCATTCTCCATTTTGCAACATGAGTCTAAAGCTTTTGAAGGCTCCTTTCCCCCTACGTCCTCGCCAAAAATTATATATGTATATAGATTGGACTGTTACGGCTGGTACCTTATCCACTTAGAACAAAAACTAAGTAATTCAGACTTTAGACAAGCAGTCAAGAGGGGCTCTATCTTAACAGTATTGAACTCAGCTATATGAACTTTTCATAAGGCCAGTCTGCTGAATCAAAAACAAGTCACTCCCACTGCCTAGAGTACTACCCTTTTTTTTGCAGTCCTGAGATAATGGTCCTAATCACTGGCAGCCTAGCTGGTCACATATCCCAAAGCTTGAGAGATTCTAAAAGAGCAGCTCCATGGCCACCAGACTGCCACTATGCCTCAAGTATCTCCATTACAGTCATCTCACTGAGTTTAGGCAACGAGGATCCATGTTAACAGGCAAATATATTACTTGGTAAGGGCAACAGTGTTAAGGCAGTGTGATATAATGGAAAGAGCACAGACATTAGAACCAGTAAAATTTCATTTTGAAGCCAAGCTTCACCAATTCTCAAACTTGGGTATTGAGTTACCACATCTGTAAAATGGGGGTAATAATACTCATTTTGAAGAACTATTAATATGGGTACCTATTATATCTTACAATCACCAAAAAAGGTAATGTGGTTAGAGTACCTGGCACATAGTAAGCACTCATTGGTAGCTCTTACCATCATTAATAATCCCTTATACTCGTTACCACAACATCCGGAGCAGAACCCTGAAGGTACAGAAAGGGAACCACTCATTGGGGCTCAGAGAAGTTCAGTAACTTGTTCAAGGTCACACAGCTAGTGAATAGCAGAGCAAGTATCTGGACTCAGGTCTCTCCAACTCCAAAGCCCAGGTTATTGCCTCAGAAACCTGCTGCCTTTTCTTGTGTGTAACCAGCCCAGCAGAAAGTAGTGATTTGACAATTAAAGTTGCTTTGGAAAAAGTCAGCCCTGAAAGACTGTAATAACATTAAACTATATAAAAGCTATCTGCAAGGTGAGTCTGCTTTTGTGCAGACCTAAAGGCATGCCAATGAACAGCAGAGTCCATTTGAAACCATAAATGAAGCAACTGTAGCGAGATATACAATGACCTGCTGGTACATCAAAATGGATTATGCTGGAAAATCCCCAAGTCTCAACTGTGTCTCATCTTTCCAAAATTCCAGGGAGCTATCGGCACACACAAGAGTATCACAAAACCAGCCCCCAACCCAGAAAACCTAGCTTTGGGTTTATGTCTCCAATGGTCCCCTTCCTCCCCAGTGCCCTCCCAAGTAACCAAGGTCTCCCGGTAATCAGGACTCTGAGGGAAGAGAGAAAGCTGGTGGGGCAGGATCACTTCTGTTCTCTGCCCCATCCCTGTCCCTACACCAAGCAGGTAGCCAGATTCTACCCCTCTTTGCCTTATGGGACATTTATCTTGTTAGCAGACCGTCTAAGCTTGGTTGTTTTCCAGAATCTTAAGCACGTTGATGGGATTACCCATAGGCGGGAAGGAACAGTGCCTTGTAGGGCAGAAATGCAGGAGGGAAATTTCTGCTTGTGGGACCTCTGGGAGACAGAGCCTCAGGAAAACGGCTTCTTGGTGCAGATAAGGAGGCTGGACCCCAGGCATTAGGGCTCCCAGCCTAGGCAGAATTCCCCTCCCCACCTCACCTGTTGTGTCCCAGGAGCCAGGGAGCAGCAGAAATGCCCACCTTCAAGGGACCATGTGGACTTGGACAGTGAGGGGAGCAGGGACAATCACAATGGACTGAAGACCCCATAAAGCCCCTCCCCTCCCATTCTTGGGTAACTCACAGCAAGAGGAGGAGCCCTTCCATAGTGATTGAGATTGAACTTTCCTTCACCTCAGTGGGATGAAAGGAAGATGCAGATTTAATCTGCCGCCTCTGAGCAACCCTGCCCTGGGATGCACACTACACAAAAGACACAGCAGGCAAGTGCACACTTTTTATTACTAGTTAGAATCAGAAAACTGACAAAGGTTGAGCTTGGTGAGCTGGGATCTCATGAGGGAACTCAAGGACACCTTTTGGTCAGACTGGACGCTGATCTAACTCCTCCCACCCCCCTGGGCTTCACCTGCCTCGGGGGAGCACACAGAGAGCACACCAAGTGGAAGAGAAGGGGCCCAGGGGCGTTCTCAAGAATGCTTGTCTCAGTCCAGTTCTCTTGTTAATCCAGTTAGTCCTCCCAAAAGAAGCACCATCCATAGCACGACGTCAGTCCTTGGAATCCATTTTGTTCTTCATCCACTCTTGACTGGAAAGAGCCTTGGGATGGTGGTGACCTGAGGCTGAGGGCTCGAGTGTGTAGCCAACACTCCCCCAGGCACCGTCCTTTGAGACAGTCACCCAGTGGTCTTTCAGGCAACCAGGAAAATAGCCGTCCCTCTCAAGGGAGGAAATCAGCAGAGTATCAGAAAAGTCCTGCCTGCACTTTCGTGAGGCTACTTTCTCGATATTTGCCACTGCTCATTTATTTGTCTCACCTGGGACCAGTGAGATGAACAGTCACTCAAGTCTTTTCATGAAAGTCTTTTTGATGTTGCCCCCTGGAACTGCAAAAATAACCGGATGTTATTTCAATTGGGTCTACCCACAGGCCACACTGCATGCAAGGCAAAGAAGTCACTCCTGATATAATCTGTATCCCAAAGTAGGCTCTCTCCTGTCATCTAACCAAACTCACCAAATGAGGTTATAATGCGTGCACCAGATATTAACATATAAGTCTAGCTCCTAACACACACTAAACAATAACTGTTTAACGAATTAAATGACACCTGTCAAATTTGCTATCATCTATAGAATTTAACACTGCAAACTCCCAACTCTTATGAATTAATTCCTCGTCCCAATAAAGAAATTAAATTCTAACAAAATTATTTTGCCCTCCCTTTCCCCCTAATGCGTGCCAAAGCATCTCTTCTTCCCTGACTTCTCACTCTTCTGGGCTCCAGCCAATGGGGGTCTCACTGAAGTGCAGGTCAGTCAGAAGGGAGGTGTGATTTCTTTAGGCTGTTGGGAGATCTTCTAACAGGACAGACTCAGCTTCTTCAGCAACGAATTAGTTCTGTGGGGCTCAGAAACACAAAAACAGGCCCTCACCTATAGAACTGAAACAAAACAAAAACAAGAAGCAAACATGAACACTGTAGTTTACAAAGAGCAGCAGCATTTTCAAGGAAAAGCAGTGCACCTAAAATTCAATATAGCTTATAACTCTAAAAGCACATGGCTGTTCCCAGCCAAAGACATGGCATTTTCAGGAAAAAAGAGGTTAATAAGAAAACAAAAAAGAGTGAAAAAGAAAAAAGACAGTCTTCATGACTTCAGCTTCTCCAAGGTGTCAACCAATCAGCATCGGTCAGCCAGAAACCACCACCTGTGAACTCAAGTGCAATTAGGAGAAATCCCTACTTCAGAAGTAAGTGTGATACTCCAAAGTAGTCTTTGTTCAAGTAAATGAAAAAAAAAGAATATGTATACATACATATTTGTGTGTGTATGTGTACCCACAATGATAAAAAGTTGTTAGTTTGGGTAATAGGATAATGGATTATTTTATGTAATTTTTTGTATTATAATTTTGGTTTCAAATTTTCTGTGAAGTAAATGAGTTACTTTTTGATCAGAAGGGGGTTTTAGGAAATTGGTTTTTCGTTGGAGTGTTTCCATTCTCACTTACCTTCCTGAAATTAGTGAGTTTGTCCTGGGTCCAGGCCTTTACTTTCAACTGCCCTAGAGACTTTCTTGCATTTATAGCAGGCCTTGCGCCATGAAAAATTCTTTGCTTTACACCATGGGCATTCCCAATCCTTTGGACTGTAGTGTGAGGCAGGCTTCCCCTGGTGTTGGGATTCGGAGGCTTTTTTCTCTTTAGGTTGCTTGGCCTTCTGTCCCTGAGGCTGCTGTTTCTTCGGGTTTTCTCTCACACCACAGCTCCAGCTGTCCCCCGGGGGGGTCGCCTGAGGCCTCTGTGGGCCTTCTTCCTGCCTGTGGCTCCCGCTAAGCCCCAAAGGAGGGATCCTCTGGGGCCTCTGTGGATCTTCTTCCTGACTGTGGTTTCTGCTGTTCCCCAGGGGGACAGCCCCCTGGGGCCTCTCCAGATCCCTCTGGCTTTGGCTCCTGTTATCCCCCAAGGGGGCTATCCCCTGGGATCTTTTTGGATCTTCCTTGCTGCGGCTCCCACTGGCCCCCATGGGTACCATCCCCTGGGGCTTCTCTGGACCTTCTTCCTGGCTGTGGCTCCTGCTAAGCCCCAAGGGGGGCATCCTCTGCAGTCTCTTTGGACCTTCTTCCTGGTTGTGGTTTCTGCTGCTCCCCAGGGGGACAGTCCCCTGGGGCCTCTCCAGATCCTTCTGGCTTTGGCTCCTGTTATCCCCCAAGGGGGCTATCCCCTGGGATCTTTTTGGATCTTCCTTGCTGCAGCTCCCACTGGCCCCCATGGGTACCATCCCCTGGGGCTTCTCTGGACCTTCTTCCTGGCTGTGGTTCCTGCTGTTGCCCAGGGTAACCATCCCCTGGGGCCTCTCTGGAACTTCTTCCTGGCTGTGGCTCCTGCTAAGCCCCAAGGGGGGGATCCTCTGGGGCCTCTGTGGACCTTCTTGCTGGTTGTGGCTTCTGCTGCCCTCGAGGGGGACAGTTCCCTGGTGCCTCTCCAGATCTTTCTCCTGGCTTTGGCTCCTGTTATCCCCCAAGGGGGCTATCCCCTGGGGTCTTTTTGGATCTTCTTCCTTGCTGCAGCTCCCACTGACCCCCATAGGTACCATCTCCTGAGGCTTCTCTGGACCTTCTTCCTGGCTGTGGTTCCTGTTGTCGCCCAGGATAACCATCCCCTGGGGCCTCTCTGGACCTTCTTCCTGGCTGTGGCTCAAACTATCCCCAAGGGGGACCACCCCCTGGGGCCTCTGTGGACCTTCTTCCTGGCTAAGGCTTCTGATGTCCCCCAAGGGGACTGTACCCTGGAGGATCTCAGGACCTTCTTTTTGCATGTAGCTCCTCTGGTCCCATGGTGGGGCCATCTCTTGGAAGCCCACTGCAGCCCATGGGCCAGGTGGGTAGATCTCCTGAGGGGGCATCTGAAGTGGGTCTACTGCAGCTTCTGCTCCCATGACTACTGCTGGTGGTAGAGGTGGCACGAATGGGAATCCCATTGGGGATGGTGTGTGCCATGGAAATTGGTATGGCACAGGCATTGGCAGAGGGGGTTGCATGGCCTGGGCACAGGGACTCAGGGGTCCAGGCACATAAACAACAGCTGTCGGAGGTGGCATCAGGGTCTCGAAATACAGCCTGTCATGCACCCCCATGGCCACATCTCTCTGCTGCTCTGCATTCAAGGGCCATGCTGCGGCCCCAAGCTGCTCAGCTTGAGGCCCGGGCAATGTTTCATGGGCCAGCGGGGCGAGTGGGGCGACCTGGGCTGCCCTCTTGACCTGGAGCAGTTGCCCACGAAGCATATCACGCTCATTCTGTGCCTGGTGCAGGGCGGCCCTTGTAAAGTGCAGCTGCACAGCCATCTCCTCATGCTCCCGTCGCAGCTGCTGCAGCTGGGAAGCCAGAGCCCAGGAAGTCGCCTCGCGCTCTACTACCTGCTCCTGCAGCCGCCGGACCCGGTACGCCTGCTGCTCCTGCTGCCTCGCGGCCACACGCACACTCAAGGCCAGCGCGCTCCAGGCGCAGGCCCTCTTGATGGCCCGCGGCACCTGCGGGTCGACCACGACGGCCAGAAGTCGGTCCTCTACCTCATTCCAGGGCCGCGAGCGGAAGGCCACGTAGAAATCTGGGCTGCCCCCGTTCATGAGGACTTCATTGTTGATGAACTTGATCACCTCCTTGTGGCGGAAGCCGCTGGCGTGGTCCCCATAGTTCACGGCCATGGCCGCTGCGGCCTAGTCAGCCGAGCGCCTCACAGGCGACGTGGCCCGTGCCGCGCTGGGTAAAGGCTGCTGCCGCCACCAGTTCCGCCCCTCACCGCCCGCTCGGTCCTCCTTCAGTCCTAGCCCAGTCCCAGCCGCCTCCTCCGCCTCTTTCCTTCCTCACGCCCTCGTTTTCCTCACAAAGAGTAAGGCCGAGTCCCTCACCACACCAACCCCTACCGGGCGACGGCGTCACACGTCACACAGGCGACCTCTGAGTCACGCGACGGCATCACACGTCACAGAGACGACCTCTGAGTCACGCCGCAAGGCCTGCTGGGATCAACCTCCTAGGCAGAGCGCCCCCTACGGGGCGAACAGGCCAGATGGCGGCGCTGGGTACTGCAGTGAGCCCATAGAAGACTTTTTATTGTTTCCAAGACCTTTGGAAGGATAATATCCAGCATCATGGAAGGAACTCCTAGCTGGGTGGTTGAGTTGCTTAGGTAGGTACAGTTCTACTCTTGTCTCAGCTCCATCTCCCATAACTCTTAGGTGGCACTTCAAACGTCCAATACAGTCACTCACACTGTCTGCACACTTCCTTCCTCAACCTGCACAAGTGAACTTGGAGTCCCTGTCATCAAGAAAATCCAGTGATTGAGCCATGAATTCCCTGAACTCTCCCTAGAAATTCTCTGTCATGTTTACCTGATTAACTATTCTCAGAAGGTGTCTTCTTCTTTTAGACTAAGTGCTCCTTTCACGATCTGGGTTTCCCTACAAGAAATGGCTAAAGGAATCTTTCAGGCTGCACTAAATGGTAGCTGGAATCCACACAAAGAAATAAAGCACACACTAAAGGTAACTACATAGGTAAATACAGAAGACAGTATTAATGTATTTTGTAACTCCTCTTTTTTAATATATGATTTAAGAGATGACTGCATAAAACAGCACAAATCTGTTTTCATGGGCACACAATGTATAAAGATGTAATTTGTGGCAGTAACAACATAAGGGGTAAGTGGAGCTATATAGGAGCAATGATTTTGTATACTATTGAAATTAAGTTTGTATTAATACAAAATAAACTATTATAAATTAACATGTTAACTGTAATTCCCAGAGCAACCACTAAGAAAATAACTAAAAAATATACAGAAAAGGAAATGAGAAAAAAATCAAAATGGTACACTACAAAAAAAGAAATCAATGAAACACAAAAGAAGGCAATAATGGAGGAATTGGGGTGGGGGAGATATAAGACATATTAGGAGGGCTGGCCCTGTGGCTTGGTGGTTAAGTGTGCGCGCTGCGATGCTGGTGGCC